GGCAGGGAGGCTTCCCTTCTTTTCCATTTCTATTTCTCCTGGCCTAAAATCTTCTTTTCTTTTAGTATTGATAGAAAGTTCTAATTTTTAATGAGGGCCATCCGTGGTGCCTAGAGATAAAGTAGTCATGGTCATTGAAGAGTGATTTGTCCCCTTGTCCTCCAGAAAACAATCAAAAGCTTGAGATCAACCCCATGGGCTTCTATCTACCCAATCAGAACAGTCAGTTATCACCAAGCCACAGCTCTATGGATGCTTTACTTGGATTTTTTTTTCCCCAGAAGAAACATGTTTCTCATGCAGCAATCTTAATAAATGCAAGTGGGCTCCATTTCTTGGCTTTGAGGTAATGAAAAATTAATTGCCATACTTTACAAGTAATAGTTTCCACTCACAGCACTCCTTTAGAAGTAAATATATCATAAATAGTTACTATTATACCAATGGCTGGTGGATTGGGCAGCCTGTCGTCCATAAATCTTTTTTCAACAGACATGTTATTTCTTCTGGGGGAACAAACAGATTTGTTTTAGATCAGAGAGTCAACTGACAGATGGCCTTTGTGAAAACACACCACTTGTATAAATAAATTATAGTTTCACTATGGTATTCTGCATTTGTGGATTTGAAAAATCAATGCCCCCATTCTCCAGACTGGGCCTAAACTGTAAAGAGCAATTTTGTTTAGGTGTGAGGTCACATTGCACAGATCTGCCAACACAGATGCTAAAGTCCAAACTCTCTGGATGCTTGCTGCCACTTCCCATCACAATTGTTGCAAAGAACTCTGCCTGGAGGTAACAGGATGATCTCCCAGAGAACTCCATTACCAATCAGAGCAAGTTACCAACTGGCACACAACCCTTAGCTCTGGGCTCTGTTTCCATTAAATGTAATGACACCACGTGCCTTATTTTCCTAACCACAACTTTGCATAATTGGGGCTGACAGTGTACTTGCCTTAAAAACCTGAAACACTTCATTTTATTTTACAATATAGTTCATCAGTTAAATGCTAAACGTTCGGTAGATTCCTTTAAAATCCAAACCAGCCCTTCCTCTCAGCACACTGGAATCTCAGTCATTACTCATTTTACAAAGTACGCACATGTAACATATGCATCAAATATTTCTTGATTCATATATAAAAGTATACACATGTAACATATGCATCAAATATGTCTTGATTCATATATAAATGTATATACCTAAGTATGCATCTATGCACACATATACCCACTCAAGCAAATCCCCTTTCCCAAAACCAAAGGGTCAGGTCTTAGTATCAAAAAAGACATAGTTTATTATTGTTCTAGTAAAATGTTTCTTTTTTTAGGAGACCAAGACATTCATCTTAGCAATAAATTCTAAGTACAGTCTTTGTTGGCCTAATAACCACCTGTGTGTCCTTTCTTTAAGGACATTATTTCCCCTCCACACATGATTAAGACCCTAAAGTCATCAGTTGTGATCAAGGAAATAGAAGTTTCACATCAATCATGTTCACTATTCAAACTGTAACAACAGAAAGACTTTACAAGTTTCCAGTTTAAAAAAAAAAAATTGTGTGTCAAATTGCCTAGCATTTTCCTAGCTATAAGGCACCTTTTGGAAGCTGTGTTTATTCTTTCCAGTGGTGGAATACCGTTTAGCCTGGCGCTTTGCCTGCATTCATAACCTCAAGCTCCCACGTTGCTATTTAGGTTATACCAGTTGGTGCCTTGATAAAATTAATACAGTGTCTAGAGTTCCTAACTTACATCCAAAGAAGTACATAACTCAATGATTTCCATCTGTTTCTATGATACTCCCGGGGAATCTCAGGTTATTTCAAAGAAGATCTGAAATTTCCAAATAAAATTAATTCAGATCTACAAATCTTACACATATACTTACATACAGACATAAATACGTATCTGCATGCATGTAGTACTTCTGGAAGAGGCAAAGTCAGGAAATTAGTAAGATCCTAAAAGGGTAAAATGATCACAAATTATAATATGCATCATAAACTAGTTTATAACTAACCGTGGAAAATAAAAGTTCATTGAATTTATATAACATCACAAATTTGGGTCATGAAAAAGAGAAAGGTTTTGGGGGCAGATCAATGAAGCTATTTTTGAAATAGATGATTTTGTGGATAAATTACCAGCAACCCAATAGGACACAAATCTGGTTGGATGACGATACTTCTGATTTTTTTTTCATCTCTAAATTATGCTACATGCCCATCTCTAAACGGAGAAGCACTTCATCCTGCATCTCAATAAAATTATTAAAGACATCTTTGTTGTACTGGAGCCAGCTCACAATCAATACCTGTATTCATAATATTATGCACACATACAGGTCAAGGGTTAAGAAAATGTTTTCAGTGCAACTGTAATCAACCAACCCTCCTGTAATTAGGCTGTTTGCTGACTCCTTGAGGACATTTATTGGAAGGGGCCCGAGGCGCCCCCCCCCCCCGCCCCGTTAGACTCAGATCATGTGACTGAATGCAAAATTCCTTTGCTTAAAGCAAATGCACTTCTCCACCTTCAGATTAAGGCAGTGATTAAGGGCATGGAGCTGCCACTTCCTGACTCTATAACTGTGGGAAGGTTTCTCATCCACTCCCTGCCTCAGTTAGTCTGTTAAAAGGAGAAAACAGTGCTTACCCCATACAAGTGTTGAAAGGGTTAAGTAAGCTAGTAAGGATAAAGTGCTTAGTACAGTGCACATAGTAAACACTCAGTAAGTATAAGGTCTTATCATCCTTTATTATTCAGCTTGTCAGGAATCGGGTTCCCCAAGCTACAGCCACTGCAGAACTCTAGATTTCTCATCAACTTATGATCATGTTGACTATTTTAAATGTATTTTAATTTTACGTAATATTATATGATACTATCTCAGTGTTAAATTTTTGTGTTAAATGTTCAGTATTGAACATATATAATTCAATTAGATCTGTGTATTAAGTGGCATATTTGTCCCCTATACATCCTAAAAAGTTTGCAATTGATGGAAGCTGCATTGACTGGGTATCTAGACATGCATTGGAGGATCTCCCACTAATGTCCTGCATGGCCATAGCTAAGTCACTTCCCCCATCCAAGTACCAGATTTCTTCCTACAACAAAGGTTTGGACTATGTGAATTCCAAGACCCTTTTATTCCAAGAACCAGAGTATTATGAAGCTGACACCCTCCTTGATTTTCTGAGTTGTGACAGCATCATCTATCTGAAGAAACCAACCAGTATGAAATGGGAGAATCTTGACTGGTAAATTTCCTAGGCTCGTCCTCTCTCAGGGTAGCACATAACAAAATGCTAGGATGAATCGTTATATAAAATTCACATAAAAATGACCACATGTGCCACTTTTATTGGGAAATTACAGGGAGAATGTGAGTCTAATATCTACTGATGAATTATTCAACTATATTTCAGTCAGCTTGGCTGACTGGATGACAGAGTACAGGTGTTTTTCAAGCACTCATAGAAAACTCCTGAACTCTCTTGAATGTTGGCCTGAAGGTTATTTCTGGTGAAGAATAGACACCTGAATGTCTAAGAAGAGAGATAGGCACTTTCTCTAGGAATGGGAAAGGACATCATTATGGGATGCTTCAGGGGACCATGTGAAACCCTTTAAATATACATCTTGGGGAAAGAGGACTATCCTGACTGGATATCCGACCTGGAAAATACCTTCCAAGACAAGAACAGGGGGTCATACACAGAAGGTGTGAAAGGCATAGGAAAAGAGTAAAGGAAGCCCCAAGAAACAGAGACTGTTGAGTCCTGAGGAGTTTGAGAAGCCATATGAGACTGAAATAGAGTTTTATTTATATGTTGATGATATACGCATGGTTTGGAGGAAGTCAGAGAGAAAGATGGCTGATTTCTCAGCAAACACACTTTAAAACGCACATGTTCTAAACCTAAATCGCTATCTATAAATGCCAGCAATAACCATGATTAACTAGTAGAGACGGAGAGGGTGATGGGCATGGGTTCTTCCCACTCAGGCACTGAGAGGCTTTCAGTCACCCCAAAGTCCTCGCTGCCTAAATAGCTACAGGTTTGTAGCAGCAAATATACACAATGTTACCAAATGTAACAGCTTTAAAAATCATCCATTTGGCCAAGGCTGGAGAATTCTGTTTTCACCGGTTTCTCTTTTTGGCGGAGATCAAAATGTTGCCTCTCACAATCTTTTGACTGAAGGAGAAATCAGAGGAAACCTGGATGGTCCACAGCAAGTTAGCATTTCCCACTGAAATAAACACATTCTTTTGACTCTCCTCCAGCCATGGGGCCCTGGCCAACATCTCACAATACAAAGCCGAGACTGGCTTCCAGTAGGAACACAGCAACCACTAATCCCCATTATCACACCAGCTAGTGTCCACCACACCCCCATAAAGATGCATTTTCTAGAAACTGATAAAAACTGGTCCTGAAGACAATAGCCTCGCGCTCATCTAAATACCCGTTGGGATATTACAAATTAACACCCTGTAAAGCAACTCAATTAAAAATTATGCCCATACACACAGTCTCATCCACCAAAACATACATCTGCCTCTCCAAATATTATGCCACACTGGATTCTAAATCAGTCTTAATATCTAAAAAGCCTACAGGCATGGATATAAATTCTCAGTTCTCGTGGCTGTGGCTGCCCTAGGCTCTCTTCCCAGTGGTGGACACAAACGTTAATGTACTTGTTATCATTTAAAGACATAAAAATATAGAAGGTGGCATTTTTCGCTTTCCTCTTCTAAGGCTGTCCCCAAGAGCTGTCAGATGAACGCCCACGCCACCTTCTCCCACCAAAGGTGGATCCGGCTAACAGGAGACTGGATCGTGAACACAGCGCGTCTGTGCCCAGCTCTGGGGAAAGCCTCATCTTAGCAAGTGGCCCTCCTCGCGTCCCACAGATCGGCCAAGTACGCGGAGGCCGCGCGGTTTCACCATTAATGCTCCTGAAGGACAATAGCTCATCAAGCCCCACCGAAAGCCCCGGACCCGTCGCGGAGCCTGGGCTGGCGGGGGATGAGGCTGAGCGACTCCTCCTAGAGGTGGTTATGTGGAGAAGGAGCAATCCCTTCTCCCTCCTCCTCCTCCCCCCCGCTACTATCCGCGGCCCAGAGAACTGCCGCTTGCCGCCATTGACACGCACAGATAGAACCCAAAGAAAGGCAAAGAGTCCTGCCCGGCACCGGCGCCACGCGGGCCGAACCTGCGCCCGGGGAGGGGCGCGCAGAGGGCACCGGGCGCCCGGAGCAGGCGGCGCAGCACCAGGTGAGCCCGCCATGGCTATGGCATTATTGTTTGGGGGCTCCGGGGTCTGGAAACAAAACGCGCCGCCGGGGCACTGCAGGGGCCGGGGAGAACCACCCCTGCCTCTCCCCCGAGCCCCTGCGGGCGCACCCCCAATAGCCGACCCACCTCCTGCAAAAAACAAATTCGTAAATCCAGCCGCCCAACTTGCTTCTTTGGGAGATAAAAGGGGGGCTGCTAAAGAAGTGATCAAATTCCTGCGGCCAGCTAGGGGCCGGGGGCATCGAGGGCAATGAGGGAGGGAAGAAGGAGGGACGCTGGGCTCAGCGGCGGGCCCCGGGCGAGGCTGGAGCCGGAGGAAGCGGAGGTCTTCTGGGAATGCGGAGTTTGGGGCGCAGGAGCGGGAGGAGAGAGGCGCCCAGCCCCCGAGGGGCACTGGGCGAGGGGTAGGGGGCTGCGCAGGGCCCAAGGGAGCCCGGGGAGGGCCGATCGGGGCCCTCGGAGGGTGCCCGGGCAGGGCGCCGGTGGCTCCGGGCTGACAATGGAGGGGGCGCGGAGCAGCCGGGCGGAGGGAAGGGACCCGGGTTCGGGGGCGGGCAGCCCGGGGAAGGTCAGGCCGGGGACGCCGGGCGGCGGGGCGAGGGCCGGGGGCTGCTGCGCCTACACCCGGACGCTGGACGCCGTGGGCGGGCGTGCGCCCCGGGGCCGGCGCGGAAGAGGGTGCGGGGCCGGGCACTCCCCTCCGGTTCCCTTTCCGGGGCGCCCGGTGCCGACGCGCGCTGCGCTTTCACCGGGAAATGGCGGCCCCGCCGTGGCTCGCCCGGGTAGTCTGGCTCTTGCTTTGCGCGGGAAAAAAATAATAATGATAAAAATAAGGGACAAGGAATAAAAGTAAACTGGCCGCGGCGCTGGAAAGGGCTCTGCCGGGATCCAGGCGCCGTGCGTCTTGCTGGCGGGGCGCGGCGGGTGGGGACCAGCCCTGTCTCCCTCCCCCGGCTCCCAGCCTGCAGCCCCGGCGCACCCCAGCCCCAGCCCCGGCAGCCCACCCCTGATCGCCCGTGGGTGTCCTCCCCCGCCTTTCCTCAGGGGGGCGCCCTCGGCTCCTGCCCTCTTTGTTTCTTACAACAATGGCCAAAGGGGCACTGGTTCCCAAGGGCCAAATGAGCCTCCTCCAGGAGTTTCCCGTCGCCTGCAAGGGCCTCCGTGGGCCTGACTGAGGCCTGATCCTTGCCTGGGTTTTTCGGCAACAGCCCTGGATGAGTGAAGGGAAGAAAGGAGCTAGAAGAAACGGGCTGAGAAACCAAAGCACGGGGCCCTGCGTGTCTGAGGGGGCGCGGTGGGGAGCCGCAGCTCCGCAGCCCTGATTATAAGGCCAGTTGCCCTATCGCAGCAGCGCTGGGACAGAAGTGACCATCCAGCCTCTGTCCAGCTCAGGGGAATTCAAAACAAGGGCCCGTTCTAAGTCCCACAGACCCCGGGATCCCCTAGGGGCGATCCATCCACCACGGGAAATGGTTTCCTCACTTTTCTCATTTGTGTTTATTTTGAAATCCAATTGTCCCCTCCCTGGGCTGCACAGTTGCTACTGAAACGGTTCAATAGGTGAGAGAGAAAGAAAGCATTATTAAGCTCGAGAAACGTGCCTTCGTCTGCAATATTCTGAACCACAAATTAAGCTACACATAACTCTCAGTCCGTTTTCAAACTCTTCGTATTTTCGAACTAAATGTTCAGAGCTCCAAGATTTGGAAACACATCGGTGATTTTTAGAATTATTTTAGCCTAAGATTATCATATAAATATATGAGGTGCTTCGCGGCGGAAAACTTTCTCTTGAGTCGCATAATTCACATCTTCATCGTCCCTCTTTCCTGTAGCCAAATTTCCTTTTAAAATATGCCCAGTTCTCTTGTCCCGTGTTTCCTACCCTACCATAGTTACACCTCACCTGGATCCATTAATTAATCGTCAAACTTTACACATTATTAGTGGTTTCTTCTAATCAAAACTCCGTAAAAGAAATTACCTCTTTGGATCCAAAATGCCCCAAGCACTCTGACCCTACTCCCTCTCCATTCCATCCTCTGTCTGGTTCCCAGGGTTTTTAAGGCGCCTCTGGTCTGCCGTTTCCCAGTGGGTGGGACACCCTGCTAGCCATTGTCTGAAACAACCACATCTGTTTTCACTGCCTCCTGCCAGCAGAGCAGGAGGTGAGACCTATCTCAGGCAACTTTAAATGAAAGGTATCTGTAACTTGTTCAGGGGAGGGATGTGCAAAAATTCAGCCAACTTTCTTAAGAATGTTTTTCAACCTTAAGAAATAGCCTCCAAGTTAGATGCAGTCTTGGTAAATGGAAAGTATGTTGCACAGAGATTAACAAAACTTGTGGTTAGAGAACATTTCAACAAACACTTACTGAGCTCCAATTCTTTTGTTGTTTGTTTTGTTGTTGTTGTTGTTGTGGTTGTTGTTGTTGTTGTTGTTGTTTTGAGATGGGGGTGTCTTGCTATATTGCTCAGACTGGTCTCAAACTCCTGGGTTCAAGGGATCCTCCTGTCTCAGACTCTTGAGTATACACCAATTCTTAAACATCTCTAGATAGGGAAAGAAACGAAATAAAACATGAGGGAGTCATGGGCCAAGCCGAGGAGATAAAATATACATGCAGGTAAAACAAGGTAAAAAGTGATTTTGGCAAGCTAGTGGGAAAACCGGTACTTTCCTATACTGCTGACTGATGTGTAAATTGATATAACCAATTGGGAGAGCAGTTTGGCACTCTCAAATTAATAATATGCACATTCTGTGACCCAGCATTCCATTTCTCAGTATGTCACCCAAAGAAGGAGGCATACACGAGCTCAGCATGTATAAGAATGTTCCTTGCAATTTTGGTCGTTCTGAAGAAGAAAACAGCCTAACAGCCATCAACAGGGAATGACTAAATAAACTCTGGTACATCTGTCTTCTAGAATATTAGGCAGCAGTTCAAAAGAATGAAGCAGATCTGTATATATCAAAACAGAAAAAGATCACCAAGATAGACTATTAATGAAAAAGCAAACTGCAGAACTGTACATACTATACGGTACTATTGACGTAAAAACAAAATAAAATTATAAATTTCTGTAAGTAAAAATGCATATAAAATGGACAGAAAAAGTGTAGAAGATGCCCACTAAAAGAGATAAGAACTAGAAGAATTGTCAGGAAGGGCTTTAGCCCTATCTTTAATACCCATCCATAACCATTGTTATAACATTTGAAGGTCTATAATTTGTTTTTTTGTTTGTTTTGTTTTGTTGAACTGGAGTCTCACTCTGTTCCCCAGGCTGGAGTGCAGTGGCACAGTCTCAGCTCACCGCAACCTCTGTCTCCTGCCTCAGCCTCCCCGGTAGCGGGGACTACAGGCTTGTGTCACCACATCTGGCTTATTTTTTGTATTTTAGTAGAGATGGGTTTTCACCATGTTGCCAGGATAGCCTTGAACTCCTGAGCTCAGGCAACCTGCCCACCTCAGCCTCCCAAAGTGCTGGGATTACAGGCATGTGCCACCGTGCACAGCCAAGTTCTGTAATTTGAATTAATGTATGTCTTGCTTAGATAACTAAATACAAGTAATAATTTAAAAGTGATTGATAATACGTAATGAAAGTCACAAAAACATTACTACAACAATTTGTAAAGGGAGAAGAGAGTTTTGGACTTGAAGGGAGGGTGTTGGGCTAGGCTTCGTAAGGAATGTGGCAGGATTTAGATGCAGAGGGGTGAGGGAGCCAGGCTAGTGGAAGGAAGCTTGATGCCGATCCTATGTTCCAGCTAGTCCTCTTTCTTTAACATGATTATGAGATTCTCTTGCAAGGCTGAGAGTCCCGGACTGGCCTGCCCTGCCAAGGTTCAGGCTGAAGGGCGAACTAAAAGAACCCTCACAATGTTTTTTTATTGCATGAGTCTGTGCCTATCTTAGATATTTAGACGAAAGAAAAAAAACAAACCAGTAGAGAAGTATGTGAGTTCTAATATGGTATTGGAAGATCATGTTTTTAAAAGGAATACAGTGAAAGCTTGAAGATATAATTTTTTTCCCCAATATACACTGGGATGTATATTGGGAATCAGATTGGAGGAAAAGATAAGTCTCTGGGAGGATAATTTATTTCCCCAAAAAATCACAAAAGGGACTTTTTAAAACAAAATATTTAAGGCTGGTTTCATTTATTCATACCCTTATTGAAGGAATATTTATTGAATACGACTGTGATCTAACACTAAATGCTAGGTGGGTAAAACATCTGGGGGTAAAACATGACACAGCATGTCGGAAGTACAGCTCAGTTGCAGCAACTGGGGTAAGGGGACTGGTTCTAGTCTGGTCTCACAGTCCATGGACAAGTCATTCAATGAGCACACTCCCTTCCAAGCCATTCCTTCGCTGTAGCCATATTTGGGGGGTGGGAGAGTGCTAAATGATTGATCACTCAAGTCCCTTTCAGTTTTAGGTCATGATTTTGTGAAATCCTGTGATTTCCAACATTGCAATGACTATGAATTACCAGGCAGATGGAATTTGGAGAATACGAAATTAGACCGAGGAGATCTGAAAGTGCCCAGCCTTGGGAAAAGCAAAACTATTTGCCATCATGAGGGTTCTCAGCAGATGGTGGCTCTCAGGGTTTTCCGAGAGTTAAACTTTCATTACTACCCTTTTATACCTGCTCCTCATACACACAGCCTCAAGCACTGTCGTAATTGTAGCCGTTGGTTTTGAAATAGAGGGACAAAGAGGCAGAAATATGCCCAAGAAAATGTCAGACTGCATTTCACGAAAATAGTTCTCCATAATGGCTTCTTTTGTGGAAATAAATCTCAGTAGTTAATGCTTATTAAATGCCTACTACCCGCCAGGTACTGTTCAAGCACCTTACATGCATTAACTCATTTAATTCTGACAGCGGTCCTATAAGTAGGTACTATAATATAGCTACACCCATCTCAGGAAAAAGAAAAAGGGGGGTCAAGA